CCCAAAAGATTTTGCGATGTGGGGTTCCCTGCAGCTGAAGATACCTTCTAGGCAACATCGAAGTTTGGACTTCCTGAAGGCTTCCTAGGAGGAAGCGTTGAAGTAACTCGACGAAAACTGCTTGCGGCCCACGGTGATGTCAGTTGAGAAGAGACTTGAAGCCTGTATCGCCGCCGGAGGACTTCTTTCCGAGCATCTTCTCTAGTAATGAATTGTTATTTTTTAGTATATGGTCAATTAACCATGCGCCAACATTTAGTAGCCACCCTGTAGTTGTCAACCCATTTCTATTTAAATGCGGTAAAAATTCTTTAAGATAAGGGAATCAATGAACAGTTAAGTTCATGCTGCTGTATTTTATTGATCATTTATATATTTTCATACGTCCAGCGGACGCGCTCAGCAGGTGTACGAAACATAATCCAAATAGAAACACTATTAACAACCAAGCAACCAATTTTGAGGAACAAAGGTTCCAAAACTCGGAATGAAGTCACGAACATTCACCTCGACTGCAAAAGCAGATAATACTAAAGGATCGACAGGGATGAGAGCAAGTATTCGACGACAAGACTTCTGTATCTCCAGGTCCGCGATTCCTTGTAGCTCATGCAACATTGCAAAAACCTTAAATAGTTTAGAGAAGTGAAATGCACTTCACGAAAGACCACACAATAAGTCTACATACTTACGCCGCTAGTTTCGTGAACTATAACACCAGGCAGTTGCTTTTCGGAAATGAATTTCCCATTATCACACTTCACAGAAGATACACTGAAACTTGAGCAGTCAACAGATGATATCATGAAAGAAGCAGGTACTAACCTCAAACGTGGACATCGAATTCAAAATGTCAATATCTTCAGTCTCGCAGATACCATCACGAACCGAAGCCAGACCGACCTAAACAGCTATCTTAGAAAAAGAGCGAAAAAAAACGAGAACGACGAAAAGATAAAGACCTGCTCTAAAGTCTTCCATTCATGAGAGCACGGAATTTCCACTGATTTGTCACCTTTCTGCACGTAAATTTTATACACTCCGATTGATCTCTAAAATTTTAATAACAATGAAAAGAAAAATAGGACAGCAGCGAAGAAAAGACATCTAGAGGCCGAGTTTTCAATTAGAAGGCAGACCATTGGAATCAAGGTAAAGGTTATCTGCCGAGATGAAAAAAACCATGGGTCAATTCTTGCAGCGTTGGGCCGTTTCTCATGTTTTCTTTTTCATCTCGGCAGATAACCTTTACCTTGATTCCAATGGTCTGCCTTCTAATTGAAAATTCTGCCTCTAGATGTCTTTTCTTCGCTGCTGTCCTATTTTTCTTTTCATTGTTATTAAAATTTTAGAGATCAATCGGAGCGAACATGAGTGTATAAAATTTACGTGCAGAAAGGTGACAAATCAGTGGAAATTCCGTGCTCTCATGAATGGAAGACTTTAGAGCAGGTCTTGATCTTTTCGTCGTTCTCGTTTTTTTTTTCGCTCTTTTTCTAAGATAGCTGTTAGGTCGGTCTGGCTTCGGTTCGTGATGTATCTGCGAG